CGTATAAACTATATTCATAGTACAGTTCTATCACATAGATCTAATTATTAACTTAAGTACAACTGCAAGAATGACCTACCTTTTGTTTCCACTGCTTATATATATTTAAGAAACCCACTTGAGAACTATCTTATCTGTAAGCCAGTGTTGTAAATTATCGATCATGTCGACAAAAATGGTGTATACCCGCTCTATCAGAATAAACCTGACTTCACTGCTTTTGATGATAGTTGTTGGGCAGCTGAAGTTTTATTCTGTCTGTTGTTGAAAACACATGAAGCAATTTAGGCTCCAGTATTTAAAGTGAGCACTGCTTTTGACGATCTTTAAAATGATCGACAAATGTTGGTAGTGAATAATGTCCTATCGGAGGTCACAATAGTACTCTTCAAGGTTTCATGCAATTGGTTCCTTTTATGAATTTAAAAAGAGCAAGAACAAACATTGATGGAGAATAGTATGAATTCATAGTATTTCGAGGTTTTTCGTCATCTGCTTACAACTCTTCAAGGTGTTCATCAAGTCAGGAATGTGAGGTGAGATGTAGTGGTTTCGGGGTATTATTTAAGTTTAGTCGTCTTTATCATTCGACAAAGTGCTAATCGTTGATTTTAATTTGAGGAAACTTATCCAACGGAAATGACTATGAACTATTTAAAGGACCAATTATCCCCAGTTCAGGATGCAGATAGAATTCATTTATTGAGATTTTTAGCTGTCCAGGAGCTAGTTCCCATTTTTGTAATTACTGACATTCACAAACAGCATTTTGGTACATACGCATTGTGAAAAAAACCATTTATGGTTTCTTCAGAAATGAAATCATACACAGTTTTAATAACGTATGCATAATATTCGCCAAATTCAAACATTCTCTGTAGATTCTGGAAAAACATTGGGATGATCCTAAAAAAAGAAGAGAAGCTTGAAATATGTAAATCATATATTAACTATGTTTGCAAAGCAAAATAAGAACGAACGGTAATGTGTGTATTACAAAACGAATCAAATAATAAATAACTAAGTAAAGAAATCAATTGTAGCGTGGCGTCGAGTTGGGATTAACTATGAACACCGCTACCAAGAAACACGTGCCAAGTAAATCACAAGGCGAAGATCGAACGTAACCAGGTTTATTTCGTTGGCGATCTCGTGGTATTGAACGAATACCGAGATCGTGCCAAGGAATGGTACAAGTGGAAGCAGAAGACAGGAGTACGTGCGAACAGTACCAAAAACCGCGGAACAATGGTGGAAGGTAATGGAAGCACAAAATGGCTATAATTAGCACAGTTAAACAAAAGCACATTAAAACAAACACTGGTACAGTTGGTTATAATAATAATTGTTTTTATCAAACCAGTCGTGTTCTCGTGATAAATGTGAGTTACTACACAATAATGTAGTAAGAGTTGACGATAAAGTAAAAGTTCCTGCAGTAATAGTTAAGTTGATGCTACAAATGGAAAACATAATCAATTGTCATTTTATATGTTAAATATATATGTAGTGGAAATAAAACGAATCTAAAAAATGATCTATTTAATTGTAACACTGCATAATGTTTTGAATATTTAGGAAAAAAGTATGTGTTAAAGAAAAAGTGAGGCAGGGAAAGAATAGAAAGGAAGAAAAGAATATGCAGTGTGCACGGAGATCAATTATCACAATAATAACAATAATAATAGTAATAACAAAAACAACAAATACGAGCATATACGGACTTTGGATATTAAAACCAAAAGAAAGAAGAAATAAAATAAACGAACAGGCAAAGATTAATAGTTTCTTCTTCGCTCTAAAGTCATTCAGATGAACATCGGATCTTCTTTCTATCGATCATTGGTAACCGCACTGATACCCAATAGGTCAAAAAACATTTTTCGGAAAGTCAGAATTTGGCATTATGTTTCGTAGGTTTTTGAAAATGAGAGTAGTCTCTTTTTGTGACGGTTGTGGGGTGATATGATAGAGTGAGAGAAGGTGGATACCGATGAGAAATAAATACAATTTATAAGACGGTGGACGAAGACAAGCTTTGATTTGATGCGCTTGATTCATAGAAGTTCTAGTTTGAGTTGTTGTCACCTTTGATGTTAATCCTTGTTGTAGGGATAACCCAAAACAGAATATCGCATTCTGGTTTAAGTAACTGCAGGGTTAGTGGTTTAATAAAAATTGAGAGTGTTGAAAGAAGATTTGCTAAAGCTGTTTCGGGTTATCCCGACAGCAAGAATTAACACCAAAGGTGTCAACAGCTCAAATTAGAACTTCTATGAATCAAGCGCATCAAATCAAAGCTTGTCTTCGTCCACCGTCTTATAAATTGTATTTATTTCTCATCGGTATCCACCTTCTCCCACTCGACCCTATCATCCCATAACTGGCATGATAAGGAAAATATTCCAGCGATTACGAGAACTTACACTTAAGTACACTAGAATTTTTTCGTTATTAGCTTCTCAACCATGTGGAACAGACTACCAACCAACCTCTGCTCAGTGAAACTTCAGCTTGGTTCATAAGTTTCTTTAATGATGTTTCTTCCGAAAGTGAATTGTGTCACCTAGTGTATATCAATATGTTTTATAATGAATTTCACAAACAAGGTCCATCATCTATCTAACTAACTGAAAAGTCATGTGTTGAGTCGGCTTTCTGAGAGCTGCAACGGAGCCTCCAGAGGCCCTAAAGGAGTCGAAGAGTCCTAGCCAATCAGAGCATGATGGAGCTTTCTAGAATGTCAACGTGGCGTGCTACTATTGTTCAGTAGCATAATAATGTCTTTTAGCGGATTGGCCAAGATATGATGTTGATTTAACAATTGTTAACATCTATAAACACCTGTGTTTTTCTGTACAAAAATGAACCTTGGAATAAAGTACTTCTCGCATACTATGCGTCTTCTTTCTGGTTTTCAGGTCGCTATATAGTTCTAGCGTACGGGTTATCAGAATAGCCTAGGAACACATTTAGCGTCCAGTCAGCAAGACTTAACACCATGTTTAGCCTTTTAAAGTTTTCTTGTTTATTTTCGTTTCTTTCTATTTACTTTGATATCCGAAATCTGTTTATGTTCATACTTATGGTTTTTATTGTTGTTATTGTCATGATCGACCCTTCGACGCATTAGATATACTTTTCGTCCCACAAAAGCGCTCTTCAGAAAACCTAGACGTTGTATTACTGATCATCACGATAGGATGAGTCGGTGTAGACCATTATTTGACTTATAGATCTTATAGATTAGGTAATCATATCATGACATCTACAATTTTGAGATTAGGTCTTTTATTATGGTAGCAAAGAAAAGTGTACCAATACCGAACTAGACCATGCTTACACAAGTGTATGAAACGGATAGTCCCGGGTATTGCTAGTTAGCATACCGTATTCAACTACTTCCAATTATCATACTAAATTCTTCGGCACGTGTGATAGATATTTATAGAGATTTTGCGGAAATTCAATTATGGTCAGAAGAAAACTTGTTGTCGGATATTCATTATATATATACGCCCATAGTATTATTCAAATGATATTTAAGAACTAGGATAATAACTATTTTTAGCAGGAGTCAGTGTTTTGCTTATCATTTCACTAATACTTATTTCCGTATATTTAACTGCTTCTGTTATATTTGAGGTATGCATAGGTGACCGATACTTTTGAATATTTGAAGGAGTAAAGAAATGAGAGTAAATTATCATTATGACCAAGATTGAGTTAGTTGAATGTTGATTTCGTAAAGTAATTTACCGATATAGTTATAATTTATCCACTGAAGATTTCAGTTTATGTTGCTGCATGATCTTTTAATCATATTGTTAAACAAGTTATCTTCAGCGATAAACAGTGCTTCTGTTGCAATTTTACGTTAGCTAAAAAACTACATGCAACAAGCTGTATCATATTAAATAATGCTTTACTTGCTACACATCAGCATCTTATTATCTTTTGATATACGCTTGCTACACAATAGAATATTTGTGTACTGAGAAAAGAAGAAACTTAATGCATTACATTTTTCATTCATTTCGTTAAACATATTCCATTATATATCAGTTTGTGGAATCTACATCTGTTCACTTAGTCAAAGGAAATAGATTAAAAATTTGGAATTTGAAACATTTTGACTAAATCATTGTGCTTACCGTCAAACAATTAGTTTAGCATAAGTAGAGTGAAATTAACAATATAGTCCTAACTTTTATCACTGATAATAAATTGATATGTACACATTAATATCAAAAATATATTTACTGAATTCTGTGAATATGATCATAAACCAAAAATTATTTAAGCTTCAATAAAAGCTATGCATTTTGTCATTTAATAATATTTGAGGTGTAATGTTTCTTATTTTAAAGAGAAAGAAGAAATCAACTTTTGTATGTTTGTGATTTTACCATGAGATCAGAATCCTTTTGCAAACTTCACTTAATTTATAGTTTAATTCAGATTCTCACTTCATTACAAGTCAAAAGATTAAATTAATTACTTACAAGTGAATTAAAAACAACATTTATAATATAATTTATTAAATTTCATTCATATTATAATTTCTTATGGAGCCAATTACAATCATATTTGTTTATTTCTAATTGTATTTCACAAATTGTCTTTTTTTAAAATAAAGGTTATAAATTAAAACAGAAACAAAAGTAGATAAATCCCCCATCCCCACCCTGCTAAAAAAGGATAAATTACAACGTACTTAATATCAATCAGTTCTAAATGGTTATTATTTCAAAAACCTAAACATAAGATCACATATATATATGCATAGAAATCGGAAGAAGAAAAAACAAACCACTTATGTTCAGGAAGTAGAAAAACGTTTTTGTCAGATTGCATGAAATGTTCCGGCATTTTCTAGTGAATTGATATACAATGAAAATGTTTTTTTAATATAATAGTATCCACAAATATTTTAAGAAAAACATTAGCTACTTATAAATAATTAAGTAGCTCAAAATAATTAGTAAAATAATTACAATTCTCAAGGTATATATATCTTAAAATATTTCTGAAAATATTGTTATGTACTTTACTTTTTGTCATTATTTATGGCTTGTGTAATCTTGTGCATTTATTTTTGATCTTCAATACTGTCATAGAATGATGAACTAAAAATCATCATTTGTGTATTTATATTAACTAATCCTTGAAGTTCCCTTATATAATGGAAAGAATTCCTCTAGTATTATTTCTTTTTCTACTGAATGTTGAGCCAATTAAAGTCGAAAGAATCTATATTTTAGAATATTCAATGCATATTAATAATAATAATAATAATAAGTATACAAGAAAGACACAGAACAATATGAATAAGTTCTCTAAATGATGTATATCAATAATAATTCCTTTTTCATTGAATTTTTTGTTTTTATTTAAAAAAGAATGTTTATTTATCATTGTAAAATTTTATATTATAATGAGTAAATAATTGACGTTTTTTCTGAACAGTTTTACTATATGTATGTATAATACATTTTAAACAAGTACGTACACAATGTACTCGACGAGCTAAATTCACTAATTCATTAATAATTTCATCTAAAAGCAATAAAATTGCTGCCATTATATGTAGAAAACATGCAAACCATGAAATACCATATGCTTCACCAAAATTTACAGGACCTTCTGTTCGTAAATGTAATTTTATAGTGATGTGATAAATAAGCACTGATAAGGCAGTAACAAATGCTAAAAGAAAATAGAAAAAAAGAAGAAAAATAGACAGTAATATTAAATATGAAGTAAGAAAGAAAAACAACAACATACACTGATTAACGACAATGTAAATATAACAACATCACAACAACAAAAAAGACCATGATAAATAACAAAGCAAATATTTGATTTGCAGTTTTTCCTCCCATCATTTATTAACGAATAAATCTGTTTGTTCATTTGAAAAAAATTTTTTTTTGCTTTTTATTATTAGAACCGTAATGGTATGTGTTTGTTTAGTGAGATTGTTTGTTTTCTAGGATCTATGCAGATGGAACTAATAAAGTTAATGAATATTATTTGATGATTATAACTTGTTATAAAGTTCATTAGACTACATTCATAATACAAATCAACTCCACCTAAAGTCCCTCCGGGGGCTACTGCCGGTCTCAAGCTCGGATAATGGAGGAGGGTTGGGCATGCGGTTAGCGTCCCCATTCCGTAGAAAACTAACTCGTTAAAAAAACGCTAACCAGAAAAATTTATGCAAAAATTATTCAAACCTTTTAAGTAATAATACAAATCAATGATTGTGATATTTATATGAGGTAACATCTTATGATGTATTATCTATAACTGATAGGGGTAAAATAATACTATTAAGGTTTATACAAAAGTGATGATCAGTAGTTGAAGATCATAGATGAAATGATTCGATGGTTCAATGATTTAATAGTAATGACAGAAATTCACATTTTCTTCATTTATTCTTAGATTCTGACTGTTACTGTTATAGCATATATGTGGTTCATTCCTTTGTGAAAAGTTCCTTTTCTCTGTGTTTAGTTCTTGTTTACTGTTATTGATGTTACTTTAAAATTTTTCTTGTTGTACTGACAATAATTAATATCTTGGTTCTGTTGAGTCGGCTTTCCGAGAACTGCAACGAAGCCTCCAGAGGCCCTAAAGGAGTCGAAGAGTCCTAGCCAATCAGAGCATGATGGAGCTTTCTAGAATGTCAACGTGGCGTGCTACTATTGTTCAGTAGCATAATAATGTCTTTTAGCGGATTGGCCAAAATATGATGTTGATTTAACAATTGTTAACATATATAAACACCCGTGTTTTTCTGTACAAAAATGAACCTTGGAATAAAGTACTTCTCGCATACTATGCGTCTTCTTTCTCGTGTTCAGGTCGCTGTACAGTTCTAGCTTGGGGGTTACAGAATAGCTTAGGAAACGAATATAGCTTTCAATCCGAAAGACTTATCAGGTTCATTAAGTATTTATGCCACATTCTACATTTGTTTATGACTATCTTTAACCATTCAGCATTAACTATTAAGATATTCATAAAACATTTAAATAATGACTTGAATTTTTTTGGTTAGTCAGAAGGTTGTAGTTGTTAATTAACTTTTATACCCAGAAACTTAACATGTGATTTGTCGTTGAAAAGCTATTTTCAATACAACTACAAATTTTGTTTAAGAAATAGACCATTAAACTTAAGTGAATGGACTTATTACGTGACTATATAAAAGAATAAGGAGATAAAATGAATTTTGGAGTTATTAAAGGGATAGTTTAAGAATATATAAACCATGAAAATTATGGTGAATTCACTATTCAGTTTCATGGAATTAGTATTATTAATGGCTGCAAGTAAACTAATAATTACATAGATTGTAATGCTTCTTTTCTTTAATTCATCCTGTAAAATGTAAACCAAATGCATACAACAGTATATTAAGATTACTTATCAGTTCATCTGTTGACCTTTATTCCTTACTTTTATTTGTCAGTAAACAATAGATTATAGACTTAAACATCACTTTACCCAGTCGAGTTTTATCAACTGTGTAAAATTATACACTGTTACACAAAAGTGGTAGTTTAACGACATTAACATTACGCATTGTTTTTAAGTTGTATTACGTACATATTATATACATCCAAGCATTATGAGCACAGATGGATGGTGGATAGAAGCGGAATTCAGGACGCGCGTTTCGTCCTATTTGAGACTCCTCGGCTGGATGTATCTACATCAAAGTGTTAATATTTATCCCAGAACTCGGATACAGTACCGTTTACTTCAAACTCCGTCGTGTCGTCCACTTAGCTACTGAGTCCAGATAGACACTAACTTGCGTCATGAGGTGAAGCTTAATTGATTTTTGTTTTAATTGTATTGCTTGCAAGTTAAAAAAACACATTCGAATACACATACCATTTCTTTATATTTAAAATTTAACTTACCTGCAACGACATGTGCCTCACCGCCTGAATGAAAATAATATAATCTTTTCGGAAGAGCATAAACTAAGTGGCCAGCCACTGAAAGACTCAATCCTAAAAATCCTAATAATATAGCCAATACAAGTATAAAGAATGCACCGTCTTGCCAGCCTAAAATGATTTTAAAGTGAGAAAAAATGTAAACATTTCTCAATATTCAGTGAAACTTACTAGAATTGAGTGAATAAAACACTTTTTTTGCATGTATAACCAAAGTGAATGTAGGTTCAGTATAAAATGCTATTCAGAATACATTTTGGATTTTATCATACATAAGTAATATCAGTAGTTTACAAGAACCTACTCAAGAATCTTCGATGATCAGAACAAACAAGGAAGAAATCTTAACTGACAAAGTAGAAGTCCAATATATGAGGTTTAGTATACTAAAAACAATAATTAAGCAATCAAATTATAATTAGGTTTGATGCTGATTGACATTGATCAATATGATGTATGAAGAGTTTTAGCGAGAATTCCTATTAGTCATAAAAATAGAACCAGTCTTATTAAACGTCATAGTCAGTAATATTACGATTAAACTATTTGAGTCAAGACCGAGACATTCGTAATAATTAATTACTTGGCAGTATAACACAAATCTTATCTTTCAGTATGAATATTTCTGCCATATTCAAGTGTATGTTACAAAAAAATCTTCTTCAGATAGGTTCAAACTTCCACATTGAGGCTGCCTCAGTATTTGCATTTATTAGTTGAAGTCATCTCCTATAGCACTAATCACTCTTTTAATAGTCTTCAAATTAACATCCACAAATATTTGTCTGAACAATGAAGATTTTAGTGAAAGGTGAAATTAATTTTTGTGAAGTTGCTTAGAGATCCTGCTGACATGCATCGCTAAATAACATACTTCATTTAACCGCCTTGTCTGGTCATTAACCTAACTTAGTTTGGCTGTTCAATAGTATGTTCACAGTATTCAATTATTTAATCCCTGATAGTATGAATTAACACTGACAAATATGCGTAGTAACTGTATGTTTGACGATATCTTCATGGATTCCAGGTTTTGATCTACAAAGAGGTTATTTTCCCATCAGTTTTAAGAATAAACCTTGTTAGAAAATGTTGAAAAGAATAAACGAAGGTTAAACCACTACAATCGATTGATCACTGGATGGTGATCAATGTCATGTATGTTAGGTCTTTTTCAGTGCAAATCGAATCCTATTGACCAATTTCTAATGTGGCCACTAGTCTAGGTGACACGACATTACGTGCAATATGTTGAGATAAGATGATGGTTTGAGGTAATCGACAAGAAACGCATCAAACTATCTGAACTTTTATTTAAATAATGAAACGTAAATAATTTCAGTCACAGTGATTATTGACGTTTGCCCAACCGAAGTGATATATGTATATATGAGAAGGGGTTTTGTGGATATTATAGTGATTTTAATAGTTGATATCATGAGTCAATTGAAGCTAGACCACCATGGAAAACCTGGAAGCACTAGACGTCCGTTTCGTTCTAGTGTGGGACTCCTCAGTAGTACGCGTTGACGATCCCGTCCCCCATGAGATTCGAACCCAGGACTTATCACTCTCGCGCGAGAGCGCTTAACCATTAAACCACTGAGCCGGCAACCAACGGTGTTAATATTCTAGTGAGAAGTCATGACCAGTGGAGTTCAACTAGGTCTGTTGTGAGATATCAGCTCACTGAAGACAATGTTTAATGTTGGAATTAGACACTAACACCGTTGGCTGCCGACTCAATAGTCTAATATTTAAGCGTTCATGAGCGAGACTGATGGGTTCTGGGGTCGAATCTCGTGAGCAGGATCGTGAATGCGCACTGCTGAAGAGTCCTACAATAAGACGAACTGACCGTACAGTGCTTCCAGGTTTTCAATGGTGACCTAACATCAATCGGTTCAAGATCTGAATCAATAACTTAATAATCTCCACAACCCTGTACTTATAGTTTATTGTTTACCACTTTTCAGCTATTCTGAATCGGTAGTTAAAATGAACTATTTCTATGCCTTATCATTGATAACATACATATATTTACAGTATTTGATTAACAACAATGTAAAATACAAGTGTAATTATAGAAAATAATAATTACCGGAACTACATTCTGTTAAAAACAAACTACTCCCAAGTAATTTAATTACAAAATTATATAATAAGAATCTATTTTCATTGTAATAACTTCATAGTAATTGTATAAATCACTTAACTAATGAAAATGAATTATTCAATTCATTAAATTAGTTATATCTTTATTGATTATGGCATTATAAAATACGATATTTCTGTTATACTATTTATTTTTAATGAATGTCATATATTACTTAATTAATTTTACATAAAGCTTGATAATGAATCAATGAAAATAAAGTATGCAAATATCAGTACATTTGAGAGATAATTATGGATCAGTTTTCGATGTCAATTAGATCCTTATCTGTTGTCTTTGCCTTCTTCTTTCAGTCAGTTATTCTCAAGTATAATATAGATATAGTAGAGAAGATTTGTAGCTCAGATGGATGCTTTTGGTATAGGATTGCTCACTGAGTTGAATGGTTTAATCCTGAAGCTTTGGTTGTTCTCCAGAGAGAAGGTCATGTTGATGATGTTGTTCAGAAGAACAATGGAAATTCCATGATGAAATTATCCAGCTCAAAGAACGAAATTCCATCAAAATAATATGGATATTTATAAGCAACGCTATTGTAAATGCATACGTTAAATGGTGAAGCACTAATTTTCTGCAAGGAAGCAATAACTATAAATTATATGATCTTGAACCTTTTATTTGCTCCTGAACACTTCATGCTGGCACAAAACATTTTATAGTTTGAGTAGTGGTTAGCAGTATAATCCACGACAGTCTTATTTATTTATTTATTTATTTATTTATTCGTCAGCTAAATTTACCTACAATCTAGTGTCAGTTTTCACATTGAAATTCAAATCCACTATCTACAACTTGAAACATAACAGTATTATCTGCATAAATAGAATAAGATGTACATCCTGAATTCCACACATAGACATTTTCTTGAGACATATTTAACTTGTAATGTCATGACATTCAGTCATGGACATTATGCAACAACACAGAGATTGACCAAGATCAGTTGTGAATATTAACAACAACGAAGTATAAACCTACACAAATAACTAATACGAAATACAACAATTACCAGGTTAACTTCAAAATGATGTAATTATAACTGATTCTGTCAGCAGTTTTGTTATGTAATATTGAAAGAGAAGTTGTTCGGTCGTATTCTGAGGGGATTATATCCGTCATTTGAAAAATTTTGTTAATCTATTAAGCATAATTCTATATTTCATTCGTACTTCAACTACGTCTTAATAACACTTCAGTGTCGGATAAAAACTGTAGCATCCACTTACTCTATGAAGTTAAGCAAGAAAATTTTTTCAAGATCTTATGCCTTTTGGAATGTTTATTATAATTTTTAACACTAAGGCTTACTTCACAATTGTATTATTTAAAAGCTTTTCTAAGGGAACTTCTGACCAATGAGTAGTGTAGTGTTCTAAAAAAAATTTATCAACGAGAGGTGAGACTATAATTTATGGACGACCTTTGAGCGGCGCTAAAGTGACCTTTAGAGTGTCCACCTAATAACTAAGACCAAATGAAGGTTATAAACTAGTGTGAGAAATTAGATTTATGATTTACAGTTGATTATTAAGGTTAGAAATTAGATTTAGGGTTTTCATCACGAATCGACATCAACCATAATGCCAAAACTCTATTTAGCAAATTGCATGAGTGGATTTTGCGCCAAAATCCGAAACCTGTTATACTATACCTGATTTGTTCGTACATAAATTGTAGTTTCACCCGCCGAGATTGAATATTTATTGAATAATCTGTTGAAACGTTTTAGATTGAAATGACTTATATTAAATGATCATTTGGTGGTCTATAATTTTAGGTAATGAGATGGCACTGTTAGGAAGCTGTAAATATGAGTTTCACGCTGGTTAGTTCCATATATTAGGTATATGTTAAATCTAGTGCTCCTTACGGGGTTTGAACTCGTTTTCTTTAATATCACAATCGGCGGACGTTTTTCCTATGTTATTTAGTGTTAATGGTAAAATTTTCTTGCGGTAAACATGTATCAATTTTGATTTGAGGAAAAGGACGTATTGCGATTAATTTGGTAATTTGAAAATAAAGTCCAACTTTCAAGAAGGCATTCATTAATTCTTTTTATGATGTGCTAACAAACAACATTCCTGACATTTGCTTCCTACCATTTACCTATAAAGTAGCAGGCTCGTCATTGTCCCATTGAGACAAAACTAAAATAAACTTGATCCCCATGCAATTCAATATTTGTTTTCACTGATATACATTCATGTATATTCAATACGACTACAACTGTTCATCACTAATTAAGATATTCAGTAAATTTTCGTCTGGTTAACCGAAGTGAGTTCTACTGACAGCGATTACAGCTAAAATAATATCTTTGATCAATTACATTGTGGAGTAATTTCAGCTAGACACCGCTGAAAAACAAGAAGCATTGGACAGCTATTTCGTTTTTGTATGGGACTCATCAGGAGAAGGAATCCACGACCTCGTCACAAGGAAAAGAATCTGTGATTTTCGGTTTCGCACTGAAACGCTTAATTTGTAGACTACTGATTATTACCTTGAAGAAATTCAGAGAAGTTTCTGGGCAGAACGTTGGAATTAGTTAAACTTCAATCGCTGAGATTATTACCAATGTGATTTTCACATACAAAACTAAGCATTTCCTTGAATTCATAGACATACCTAGTTAAAAGACGTTAGCATTATGATAACAAATATATTTTTGGCATATCCAAATGAGTAGAAAAATTGTATTTCTGACGTATCGTAACCTGATGTAAGCCACTTCTTTAAAGTAAGTAGTAATGCTTATAAATGTCTATATTATTTTGATGGAATTTCGTTCTTTGAGCTGGATAATTTCATCATGGAATTTCCATTGTTCTTCTGAACAACATCATCAACATGACCTTCTCTCTGGAGAACAACCAAAGCTTCAGGATTAAACCATTCAACTCAGTGAGCAATCCTATACCAAAAGCATCCATCTGAGCTACAAATCTTCTCTATTATATCTATATTATACTTGAGAATAACTGACTGAAAGAAGAAGGCAAAGACAACAGATAAGGATCTAATTGACATCGAAAACTGATCCATAATTATCTCTCAAATGTACTGATATTTGCATACTTTATTTCCATCGGTTAATTGGAGTTAAATCTAGTTAGCAAATCCCAAATAACGTAAAACTCTCTTCTTGGTTTCCACCATTAACTGTAAATCAAAAATCATCGTTATTCGGTTTTCAAACTGAATATCTAAACATCAAAAATGAATTTGTATAAATAACTAAACTGAACCTTCTGCACGTTGCTTCAATCCTCTATTCAACTGTCAACAATCGTATAAAACACACACTTCTTATATGTATAATCCAATAAACTTGATATCAATAACTAATTTATGATAAGAAATGAAGACTAACTAACCTTCATGTTTAGTAATAAAAGGAAGCATGATTTCACATGTTTGATTGAAATAATTACAACGTTTCCAAAATCCACTATGTGTAATATTGTTTGCTAAGAAAAATAAACAATAAGAAATTCTATCATAAGTGATTTGAATGATACATAATTAACAAGGTTTGCAAGACAAGACTATTTCATTTTATTTTATAGCCCCTTTATAACAATTGAAAACTGCTATATTGTACACTGTTCTTTTTTACTATAGCCAACACTGAATATTATATCAGCAGTGAACTTCAGTGATGCTTTGGATAAGAAAAGTTTCAATTCTTAACTTGTTTTCCTTAGTGTAATTATTCTTTTTCAGTTATCCAAGTCATCATCATCATCATTATCATCCAAGGTAAGCATTGTTGACAAGATTTTCTTAAGTGCTAGTTAGTTATATAAAATAACACAAACTATCTAATAACAACAAGCTATGATATTAGTATAGTTAAGCAATAATAGATAAGGGAAAAATCTTATTAGAACGCAGATGTTTTAAACAAACGATGATTAGTATTATGGGAGTTATAAATTGTTATCCTTTCAATTAACCAATGAATTACGAAGTATCAGACAGAGAGAGAGAGAATTTGAAGAACATCTTTAGTATATTTTCAAATCCTAAGATAAAGGTATGGGTTTATCAAAGGTAGAAAAAAGGTAACCTAACTTTTAGTAAGGAGACATGTATAGATTTGCTTAAAATTTTTATCCCTTCTGGTTGTAGCTAAGACTGAATAATTCTGAAAGACAAAATTTATGGTTGCTACACAATTCAAACAAGTCAAACAAGTTACCACAATCAATTGCGTTAGGTAAAATTTTCTAAAAATGAGAAATCCAGTCTAATCATACATCTCTTCATCTGTAGTTATTTAAAACTGTGAAAAGGTATATACCGCTTTAAAAATAACATTATTTTTAAGCAGTTGAGATCATGAATCAATTGAAGCTAGACCACCATGGAAAACCTAGAAGAACTGAAAGGCCGTTTCGTCTTATCTTGAGACACCTCAGCAGTGTGTATCCACGACAACGCCTCGCGGGATTCGAACCCAGGACCTATCGGTCTCGTGCCAAGCGCCTAACCAACTAAACCACTGTGATGGCATCCGATGGTGTTAATGTCTAACTTCAACTAATCCACGAAATTGAGCGACACATCCACCATTGTCATCAGTGAGTTACTATCTCACAACTGACCCGGTTGAACTCCGCTGGTCACTGATTCTCACTAGAACTCCAGGATATATATCTTGAAGCCAGTCACTATTAAGCATATGTTGATTAGTATCAGAAGGGGTTTTGTGAAGATTGTAGTTATTTAAACAGTTGAGATCGTGATTCAATTGAAGTTAGACAATCATGGAAAACCTGGAAGCACTGGACGGCCGTTTCGTCCTATTGTGGGACTCCTCAGCAGGTTAATTTACACTCTATCTAAAAGAATCCTAAAATGACTTATCATTCATGAAGTTAATCATAACCATTATAATATATTCATATTAATATAATATTAGGCATTGAATAATAGGGATTGTTACGGCATATATTTGTGAACGAAGTATTTAAATTTCTCTGAAGATAGTTTACATTTCATCAAAGACTGACATTATCTCAAAAATCGTAAATAATTTATTCTAAGATCCTTAACATTAACGACGCATAAGTCTTACAAGTGTTGAAATTAAAGTCTTGAAGTTTCACTATAAACATGTAACCTTAAAATTCATTGGTCTTCTTATTTCTAATTTAGATCAACCGCAACAGAATTAAAAATGATATGAATGATTTCACTGATTTTATTCAGCTGTTTAGAACTGAGAACCTAGTCTGTATATATTTCAACAAAGATTATTTTCCATCACCAATTATCCTGATGAATTTAGTTCAGATTATTTGGTTATGAAATATAATCGAAGGGTGATGAACACCTAGATCATTCAGTATTATACTTTAGTAGATGTTTTAAACTGTACTAATTAAAATTTCATTCATCTAAACTATGATTGTCATTGTATGAGGTGAATTGGTAATGTGAACAATATCAAACAAGCATAAATCGCTGATTAATTAAGAAGAATATACTTGAATGGATATAAAAAAATCTGTTTCTATTTTGTATATCATTTGCTGTTTAATAGTTCACTGTGTTTAATTGAAACAATCATTATTAGCTATTGCCTACAAAATATGTTGATAATAAACTTCTTTGATGATAGAAAGTGTTAAATCTGAACTGTTTTTAGTTTATATGACTAAAAACCGTTTTTGTTTGTTTGTTTGAAGGTCATTTTATATCGGATACCACTGAATAGCAAGGAACACTAAACACCTAGTACATCCTTAATATAGGACACTACCCTAGTGCATGCTCATGCGAAGGATCAAACTTTGAATTTGAAGATTCCTTGGTGAGTACTTAACCACTGGACTGTTGAGCTGAAACCTCAAAGTTTACATTTACAACTTCAATCTGCTTATAATATAGAGTGATGACACATTGGTGATAACTAGATCACTTCCGACAGGCTTGAAATCTACAGGTCATAACTTGTTCTAGTAATTCAAGAAGTCGTTTCACAATAAGCCATATGATTATAAATTTGTTCTGGAGGTTTTATGGACATTTTGTAAGTGATATTAATTGAGGAGAAAAATAGTATTTAATAAATCATTTGAATAAACACCAATAAAATCATAAACAGAAAAGAATCTTTCGATTTGTAAAATTAAACAAATCATGCAGATAGAATTTCTACTTATCGGACAAAATGCATAGACCAATCATGTATCTATCGAATAGTCGAACAATCAGTTGATCAATTTATCAATTATTAGATCAGTTAATCAATTAGTCGACTAGTTCGTCAATCAATCAGTCAAGCGATAAACCAAGCAATTATTTAATCTAATTATATAATGGAATAAAATAAATGAAATGAATAAAAAATAGTCAAATTGGGAGCTTTATAAATAAAGATAAATTAACAGATACCGTGGATAAAAGGTGACAAAGACCAATGTGATTTTAACTAATGATGTGATCAACATATATACTTCGTTATTTGTGTTATTTATTTATTTTAGCATATAAATATTGGTACAAACGGGCACCGAATACATATGCGCCCCACTAGTCACTTGATTTGTGTGTGGACTGTGATACTGCCCGGGTGCCCAAACTAAAGCAGGGGATTTTCTTAAAGGCCCACACCCGGAGCGTTCAACCTAAAGGTCTGATCCGCAAGGCAGTAGAGCAACGTCAGAAGATGCAATGCCATGGTAACCGGTGACCAACAGTAGGTTCGTGATCCATTTGTTAAGTTAGGATTCTGGAGCCCATGTGCACCATTGGTTTTAAATCGGGGTTTTCCAAGTCCCCTAGGTGGATCCACTGTGTCCACCAACCCTGTTAAAGCGCCAGACATTGGCTTTTCGTCCTCTCACTTCCGTAAACAACAGTAATGCCGCGAGAGGCAGTGAGTAGGACTTCTCTGGTAGTGGCTGTATACACATGGCTATGTGAGAGCATTTCGAGAGAGAGAGAGCAGACTCTCCCCACCCTCGGCCGTACCCTGGCATACGTAGTAAAACTGTACCATTGTATTTGTTGTGAATTGAGTATTAATTGATTATTTCGAATTTAAACACGACTGAGTGATCCTTTCCTCAGGAAAAAATGATTATAAGTGAACCATATAGATTGAACGACCAATACTCAGCTACACTAAAAAACTGACTAATCAAATCAATATTAAAGTGGTAATAACTATGTAACGAGTTTACCAAAACTTTTATGAATGAATTTCAATACCAATTATACATTAATTTCAAAGTTGAAGGACTGATTATAAACCATATAAAAGAACTGTCCCAGTTTCATTTTCATTATCGCTTAATAATCCATATCGAATCAATTTAACAATGATGCTTATTAGTCAATGAAGAATCGAAAAAGTTTGAGATTAGTTTTAACAATTGAGGTTATAAAATTGGATGGAAAATATTTAAGTACCAATAAAAGTTCACTTTTTGACATTGAGAAAATCTTCCAAATGAGATTTTTAGGAGAATAAAAAGGAACCGATATTTCACTACTTATGAAGAGGTTAGAATAGTCTTCAAAAGAAACAATATAACAATTTATATCATAAAAGCTGAGGGATTATGTCGTCGTTGACAAGATTTTGATCAGCCTTTGTTAGCATATATGTATACTGTGCGGATTATCACGATATATAATCATTTTATCAAAAGCTTTATAAAAGAGATGGATTACCATCAATAGTGGAATTCAGGACTCATTTAGCATCTTATATGCTGTGAGTTAACTTGATGCACCTCTATCTCTCTACTGATATTGACACCAAGACTTTAGCGCAGTACTTTTCACTTCAAAGGCCAATGTGTTATCCATTCAGCTATTTATTTGATGAGCCATACATAAGACAAAATGCTCAACTTTTGTTTCACTTATAATCACAGTCCATTTACTCTATAAATGTATAATAATTATTCAACATCTGTTAATTTCAATGACAGATCATAGGATTAATAGTGTGTTCTACCATTAGTTGTAGTCTAATAGGTAATCGCATAAACTTCCTACTCCAGTTATAAATTCAGTTTAAAAACATCATACATTTTTATTAGTTCAATTTAGGGGATTTTTTATGTATCATTGGAGTATTGTTATATTGTGTTGTATTTGTTCCAACTGAATAGTTTGATCAACTATAACTCTATCTACATGAAAAGATGTACATTCATTGCTAACAAGTTGAAAATAATATCGATCAATAAATAACCTTCAAAATGATATGAATTTATTAGTCCAAAGATATTGTCCCCATCATAAAGCTTCAGAGTCATATGTTCGAATCTTTACATAATTTTACAAAAGATATACTGGAATGAAAAAGTTATCCAATACTCTTTGAATCATCAATAGTTTCCTAGTTGATAATAATCCTTGACAATGATCAACTTTACATGCATGCATCATTTGAGTATGAGAAATAGTTACTTCATTATCGTTATAGTTGATGCATTTGAGTAGATTGAGTATAATTGAACTCTTTGATTATGTCAACAATGAATGTGTAAGTATTTAGAGTTTTCTTGTAATAATCATACACAATAATACTGAATAATTTAAAATAGATGATGTACGGTTAATAATCATGATTATAAACATTCAACAGTTTAGTAGCTACCTGTATTAAGTAGCTCAGTAAATAGTGTGTTGGTCATTTGAAATAAAATGTACTGGGTTCGTGCCTTAGCGTGAACATTAATATTGAAATGTAAATACACCCAACTACCAAATCCTAAACAAAACGTAACATGCTTCCTGACTTCCACTACTAACAACAATTCATACATTCCAAAAACGTGATAGGTCAGATTTTAATAACAATAAATAATTCTATAAGTTGAGGAAATAGTGGCTAGCAGTGAAATCGAAGACGCGTGTCTCATCCTATTCGGTCTGCATTAGAGTTGATGTCCACTCAGGGACTCGAACCAAGTACCGTTCGCTTCGCGTTATTCACTTAGCAATATTGAGACAGTCTTCACAGGGTGCACATATGCCAATAAGATACTAATTAATTACAGTTCTAAAAATCAATGAGAAGATTCGAGCAACCCATACAAAAATGAAGAAATAAACTTGTTTCAGACGATTTCAATCTTAGGCGGTTTTTTTGAGTGTTTATTGCTGAGGAGTGTTAAACTATTAGAAAGTGAATGTACGGGCTTTATAGATTATAAAAGTTCTTCAGTGTTAAATGGCTAACTCTTAACAGTTATATCTGTTCTGAGAGACGATTTATCTATGAGATAAAATCTTTTGAAGCTACTTTTCTACGATTATATATATATATTTATTGACTGGATTTGTATCGAGTATTTTGGTTTTATCCTTTTCGTGTTACCCTAGTTCCAAGCTTTTATATGGAAAGTAAACTGTTGATATAGCATTTTCCACTCATAAACTAGAAGCGATTATTTGTATACCCAGTACTCCGTTTTTTCCACCAATAATGTTGTTGCTCCGTGTTAATACTGTTACTCCATTGGTCTGATGAGTCGTCTGGTCTTGTATTTATACATATGGATGTCTGAGATATAATGATAATCTTGGGTTGGTGACTATTGGCCTTGTATTTTTCCTTTTCGTTTTGACTTAGCTTGTAATGGGCCTACCGTCAAGTATGGAGTATCAGTCTTCCTTATCCTTGATTCTCAGTGATTACTTAAGGTCTTCTACGCGTATTGGTCAGTCATAGGGCATAATAGTAACAAAGTTTGTTTTCACCATTAGTATTCGTGATGTGTAGGTATGTATAAATGTTCTTGAGTTCAGCTCCTTTAGCGATCCATGTTGAACACTACTTGGAAGATTTTCAGTACTTCCAGATTACCTTTCGTTGTGTAGTAAAAATCAATTTATAATGTCAACTTTCTTAAAGTATGCAGAATAATTTAACACTTGAATATGTACTGAATACAATTTCCATACAAATGTCCTTTAATTAATTTACGCATTATTAAACAATATGATTAATATTATATTATCACTTACCATATCCCTGATATAACCATGTGCTGGCACATACAGAACAAACTAAGCAAACAGAAGCCACTCCAGCTAAACAAACTGCAGTGATTCTTGCACCTGAAAATATACTATGGTCCCAGTATTCAGCAAATTCTTGTATTTCACTTTCACCTAAATGTACAGACACTTTTAAAATTCCACTCGATGACATAGTTGTAGTATGTCGTGTTGTAGTTTGTGGTGATTGTTTAATATTAATATCATTTGATAATGTCACTGATTTTTTAATTCCAGTTGGTTCATGAGTTTGTGATTCATTAATTCGAACTTCTTTATGTGATATAAAAGATTTTCTATCATATGGTATAATATCATCTGTTGACGCACTAGGTGAAATTGTTTTCTTTAATGGTGATTGATAAATCTTTTTTTGACTACTATGATTACTTGTATCACCAGTAATATCAGTAGTAACATGTGATGCAGACTTTTGTTTATGTGTTGAAAGCCCATGATCGTCTTTGATCTGCATAGGATAAATCTGTAATATATGGATATATACATGAGAATAATATGAGTTGCAATTAAATAAATGATAGAATAAAAGTATTCAATAATGAACTATTTGGTCAATGAGCACTAAACAGTGTCATGTTTTTTTTTTAATGAGACTATAAGTCTTACCGACTTCATATACTTACTGGATCACTTTTTATATCTAAAGACTGTCACCAGAAAAACTCTGAAGTTAGGTTTTATGTTAAAAGTTCTTATAAATAAGATTTTTCACAACAGTAATTCAATAAACAAAGCTCAAAAGAAGATTATTCATGATCCGAATGGCTCGATGATTACTGAAACAGGCACAAATTCCACAAGAAAGCTTACTTCACTGACTCATGAGTGCCAACTACGAAAGAAACCGTTAGTTTAGAATTTCCTGTTGATTACGTTTGGCTATCTCATATTATTATATTGGGAATTATTGAATAACTCAATAAGAGCAATGGTAATACATACCATTCTTCTGAAAATTCAGGTAACTAGAAGTAAAATATGACCAAACTTCGCAAGCTGAATTTGATAAGTTTCAAAATGAATATATATATATATATATATGTATGAATAGTTTCGTCACCGCGGTGGACTCGTCAGTTCACCATGCCATATCTTTCATTTTTGCACAAAATGATAATAGGTTTTTTTATCAAAGTAGTCATGATGCTACAGTCGTGGTAGCACTGGTAGTAATAATAATAATAGTAGTAATGATCTAATGAACAAGAATCCCAATAATCGGTCTTATACTTCATAATTTCGATGGAAATATATTAATAATTATTTTTTACAACAAGTGACTGTTTTGAAAATCCATTTCATGCTATTATAGTGAGGAAATACGACCAAAATAATATCAAGATAAACGCAATAATGTTATACATCACTACCCACTATGTTTACTTAAAAAGTTTATCATATCTGATATCGTTTTTATTCTTTCAAAGTCGACCTTTTTACAACTGTTGTTTTTAGTAATGAACTTGATTATATAAATTGGGGCAGAAACGTGGAGAACTACAAAAACCATCATCCAGAAATTACAAGTGTTTATTAACAGTTGTCTACGCAAAATACTTCGGATCCGTTGGCCGGACACTATTAGCAACAACGTACTGTGGGAGAGAACAAACCAGATCCCAGTGGAGGAAGAAATCAGGAAGAAGCGCTGTAAGTGGATAGGACACACATTGAGGAAAGCACCGAACTGCGTCACAAGACAAGCCCTCACATGGAATCCTGAAGGCCAAAGGAAAAGAGGAAGACCAAAGAACACATTACGCCGAGAAATGGAAATAGACATGAGAAAAATGAACAAGAATTGGATGAAACTAGAAAAGAAGGCCCATGACAGAATGGGTTGGGGAATGCTGGTCAGCGGCCTATGCTCCACTGGGAGTAACAGGCGTAAGTAAGTAAGTAAGTTGATTATATAAATAAAAGTAACCGGTACACCTGCTACATCTGAAATAGGCAAAATCAGCAGGACAGTAACATAAATTTTAAAGGAGAATATTCCCGGAAATCTTGATAACAACAGCACTATTCAGGAGTGTAAGAGGTGGGATGGTGAGGACTGACTGAAGTATAATGGATGATATAGTATCGAAACAGAATGAATAACTGGCATGCTTTTCTGAGATATGGATGAAGTCCTTCACATAAATTTTGAAATCACAAGGAGATTGAATTATGTGTGATGAATTTACAAATAGTTTTAATCGTCTTTCAGTACATGTTTTATTTAAAAAATCATTTTCATCAAGCTATTTCTGGCTGTCTAAAACCGAGCAAATATTTCTTGAGTTCATACAGAATCATGTGGGTTTATTCACCATATTGAATGCAACTTGTATGACAAAATCCATGAATTTTAAGTAAATGATCCAGTTAGTAACATAGTTTCTAAATGGATAGCTAACAGTAAGGTAAAATTTCAGTGAATGATTACGATAATGTTGATTGATATGCGTAGGTCTTATTTCATATAATCAATAATGAAATAAGAACGATGTAAGAGTATAATTGAGTCACTTCAACATATAAGAGTAGTCCTTTCCAATGAAATGGTCTGATGGTAAACTAGATATTTATTGACTAATTAGTGGACTAAATTGTTTGTCTATATCAGATTAACGAAATGACGGAAGAGTTATTTAGCTTATACAACAACACAAACCATAATTACAAAGTGATTTTAATCACTAGTTGAAATGATCTAATAAATACTACAAGAAACTAATCAATTCTGTATTTTTCTTAGCAGAGTTTTAGATTTACCTTCAAAATGCTTTGGTTACTGCTTTAATTACAGATTCTTATTAACTGGAAATTCATTTCTAAGAATATCAATGGAGTAATGAACATCAGTTTCGTCTTAACTGTACATTACTCAGCAGAATGCAGGCATCACTCTACAATAGAACAAATCTAAGACTTACATGTTGTAAATAGAATAAAATATCATTAGACTTTTAAAACTCTAATCAATTTTTTGTATTAGTAAATAGACTTATGCCTACAAACCATTCAATTATTCAACTGTTTCTGATTAGTCAATTAAGTAATTGTAAACTGTGATTACATTATGAAACTATTCATATATATATGGACCGAATATTATAAATAATAGACATATCTAAAAAGAATATGAAACAAATGTGTTTTCTACCCTCTAACTCGAATGAATTACTTACTTTTTCATTTTTTTCACATATATCATCTTTATCCTCATTAAATCTACTTATTAATGGATGACCTTTTGTTTCAGATTCAAAATCACCTTTTTCTTCAATTGGCGAGAAAAAATTATAAGTTTGAATATAACCTGGATGAATTAATGGTCTTGTTTTACTACTTGACAATGATGGATAGTCAAATGATGAAGAATAATATGGAATATGATATTTAAAGTGTTGTTGACGTGTAAATTTCGATTCTAAACTTTCTTCAGGATGTTTTAATTGTTCAGGAGATGAATGATAATATTGTTGTGATGAAGATGGTTTATGCAATGGAGTTGGTATATATGATGGTTTATCTAAACTTAAAGCTTTTCTCAATGAATCACCTCTGTGTGGAGTTAAATATCTATCTGTTTTATGTGTTTGACTCCATGGACGTTTGATAACTTCATCTTCATAGGCGATTCGATGTTGATCATATGGAGAAAATTGTTCATGATAAGGACGTTTTCTACCAGTTGTATATTTAGTGTAATTGTATACATCGATTGGATAAACTTGATCAAAATGTTCAATTGTTCTATGATCTTCTCCTGTAATATTTTTAGAAGTTGATGCAAGTAGAATAAAAAAGAAAATAAGGTAATTAAATGCATACTGTGTGAAAAATGCTTAACGATATTGTGTAAATCACATATACGAAATTTGTAATTATTTGTAATGTAACAATCTATTAGTTATAGAGATGTAAAAATTCATGAAAATCATTTGCCTACCAAGTATTTTTTCCCTGAATGAATGAACTGTAACTAGCAGTGGAATTCAAGAAGCACGTCTTGTCCGATTTGGGACTCGTTAGCTAGTTATACTTACATGTGTTTATGTTCACACTGGGACTCGAACTCGGTACTATTCTTTTTCAACACCAACTGATTAGTAACTGCTCTAATAGGTCCATATAAACACTCAATTGTAAAACGAGTATTATGTTTATACTAAATTTATATCCTTCATCATAACGATGTAAATACTCGCCATTTCGTTACTGTGAAAAATTCAAATGTCAATCCAAGTCAATTTTATTTAGTCTTTATCAATAAATCTTTCGGGAGGATTTGTATTTTGAATTACCATACCTATAAAATGCGTTATCTATCCAGTATATCTGAATTGTATTACATCATCTATGTAAACAGTACCAAACAGATAAAATAGTTTATTGTTCACCCTAAAGAGTTAATTTACGAAATTGAGAACCATTTTAACAATTCGTCAAAAACAAAGTGGGATTATTCTGATAAACGTAGAAATTTATAACACATTCGACATCTTGTGTCTTTTGTTGTTGTTGAAGATTTACCAAAACCGAACACGGAAATATTTGATCATTTGTGTCAAAAAATGCTATAGTTACCATTTGGTTTGAAAATGCATGAAAATTATAAAACTGAATATGCAATTTCATACAATAACGTATTTCCTGTCGAAAAATTAGGTTTGTTCATTGTTTTGTCTGAAGTATGATAATAGGCTTACATCTATATATTTCCTGTTTAAATCAACTTTTTTGTTGTCTGAAACTATACTCTAACTAATGATTAGTCTTAATATAAATTTAAACATTTCCAACATGAAAATATGGTTGTCAACGTTTAACCAATAGTATTGTAGTGAATAGGAACACAAGTGAGGACAATCAAACATGTTTGAATACAAAATGACAGAATCTCTTAGTAAAAGTTGAGAACTATACAGTAATATTTTATTTGCAAAATGTCAATTAATCGTTTCAGATTTTGGTGTTCCTTCGTTTCCATATCGATCATTCTGTATTCTCATTCTCTTCTCTTCGATCTTCTTAACAGTCTGCCGCCAGGCATTCCATTTGGGATTGGTAATACATACTACTTATATCTGTCAACATCACTAGTACACACCGCAGAAGGATATATTGGAAAACTGACTAAAATGCGAGAATATCAACCTTTATATTGTGATTTAGAGATCTAAGCGTATTACGCTAAAAGTTTTGTATTTAATCTTATTTAGGATTTTGGGTAAACATTACTAAAGAGTGTCGAAATAGAACGAAACATCTGTTCAGTGTTCTATATTTGTCAGTAGTTGTCTCAAGCTGATATCAGTTTGTCATGAAGTCTCAACTGTGAATTCAACCATCTCAACAAAATTTCTTCTTAATATTTTGCAGTTATATTTCTCCCCAAACACTGACTTTTCGGAATACTAAGGGAACATTTAACAGTGAGTATTTGGTTATATTACAAAACATAGAAATACTTATATAGTAAACGAGGTGTCAAGACTCGCAAATTTATCTAAGTTATGGTGAAAAGGCTATGACAACCTAATATACATGTTAATAACTACAGATACTTGGTACATAAGTATAACTTATAAATTAAAAAGTCATTCCGTATAAAGAAGAATAATGAAAACCTAATGATTTTTAACATTTATCCTCAACCACTTTTCAGAGTTGCCCCAGCCAACAGTAAGAATCTACTAGTTCAATTTCGACCATGATGATTATTGAGCCTTAAATGTGTTTTTTTCTTACGAGCTTAGATAAAAATTGTGACGAAGTTATAGAGTAGTTCTTAACATATATTCAATGTTATGTACGTTTTGAGATGAATATTAAATATCCACTCATCTGCCTGGAGCTCCTCTGGGGCTACTGCTGGTACGAAGCTCAGATAAAGGATGAGGGTTGGGCATGGGGTTAGCGACTCCATCCGGTAGAAAACTAACGCGCTAAAAACAATTCAAGCCACTTAAACTCTTCCTTGGGAGTTAAAAGGTCTTCATTTAGAAGAGTTATGACGTCTCATGGTGAAAGCCGAGTTCCTTGGAAAGTCACGAGGCTGATGCCTCCTTCTAACAACCAGAGCAACCATTAATTTAGGTACATCTTGATCTGACAGTCCAGTAAATCAATTAAAACATCGAACTATTTATTTTCACATTCTTCCAGTATTATACTTGATCATTCAGATAGTTTACACGCTTTTGCTTGTAAGTTGAAATGTTGAAAGTACTTTGTGCTACAAATTGATACCGGAAAAAGAGCTCTTGTTCATCCAAGAATACTGAACAGTCACTTTGTTCTAGATCCATCTTACTCAATAAAGCGTTGGCTCAATACTCGAAAAAGTCATTTTCAGGACAACTGTCTGTCTTGTTAGATTTTGAAACTAAAATTTTTAAATTTTGTTTTTGAGTTCATCATGATTACCAGAAATTTAACCTTTTTCGGTATCATTCACAAATTAAAGAAGGAAACATCGTTTATTACCCTTCTTGGACTGATATATTTGTTCTGTTGAATGTTTTTTAAGAATTAAATATATTTTTCCGGTTGATATAAATTATTTAGAAAAACTAATTATTTGATGAAAGAACGAGTTCATTTTCAAAGCAGTACGACAGTACATATATGTGATAAATTAAAGGTCAATAAACAATTATGTGTTGATAGGGGACAGTAGCAGTTTTTTTCAGTTTCATAGTTAACATCACAAAATGATTTTAATGAAACAAACATTGAAAACCAGAAAACATTGAATAGCTCTTATAGAGTTCCAGTGAGAAGCTGTAACCACTAAAGTTCAAGTACATTGAGTGTAAGATATTTATCTAAGGAGTATCTTGGAAGATGTTTGGACGATATTACTGAACAGACTAATGTTAAACATGTACACAACTAGATTTCAGCTCATTAGTATAAAAGTTGAGTTCTCATCTTAGGATCCGAGGGTAGTGAGTTTGGTTCTCAGTGGGGACATTAAAGTGTACTGCTGAGGATTCCAATGCTAGGATGAAACAGTTGTCCAGTGCTTCCTGGTTTACACTGACTGCTTAACGGAGATCATTTCGTGATATCAACTACTAAACTATAAGCCTGTCGGAGTTTTACTAGTTGTTGTGTGAAATCCTATTATGTTTTTTAATGAATAAATAACTTTTCAAGGAGGAAATTTATGAGATGTATTTCATAAACTAGGTGAAAAGTGTAACTGTATCATCAAGCTGCAGTGAAGATGAATGAACAGTGGCCGAGAAATGGAGGTAGAAATAATCCTTATAATACTACTAATAGTAACGAAAGTAAATTATATTAAATTAAAATCATTTGTAAACCTAGAAGTGAGGACGAAAAAAAGAAGGAACAACTAAACAAACAGAACAAAAATAAAAACTTAGGCTAATGTAAAGACTTGGATTTAACAAATTATTTTTGCGCGCGTAACTCAGGTATCAAATTGTTGATGGTCAATGCTTTTGGAATGTAATGTAAGTTAGAGTGTACACCTCTTTGTATCGTTGATTGGAATCAGTAAATGATTTCAAATGATAAATCGGAAGCTAAATATCCAGTGTCTGTTACACGTTATAGAACTGACGACGTAATTAAGTAACATTTACCCTGCTAAGCCACGATGGTAGGTGCTTTTCTACACGACAAAAATTCGGCTTCGACAAACGACCCTCATGCATAGCTCAGCAACAAGAGGTGAACTGGTAAACGCATAACAAATCGGTCAGTTTTAGTAACCTATAATAATCTATAGTAACCACATAAAACAATGGATCTAGTGATTTGTACGGAAATTTTCCGCTCTAAATCTCATTCTAATATATCTCTCTACACAGTTTTTTTAGCATATATAAAGATTTACAATAAGTGGTTGTTTTGAACGCCAAATTAAATTTTTGAAGGTTGTCTCTCGTTCACGTTGTTCTCTATAAATCTAAATATTATAATGATGTAATCAAATTTCTCATAACAACTAACCTAAATCTAACAGACCTATGTCCGTTCACTGACTGATAATGTACAAACTGTACAGCTTTGAAGATAAATTTGTTGTAAAGGAATTCCTTTTCTAAAGAAATTTTTTGATTTATAGAATATATGTGAATTTATCACAAAAACGGTTCATATAGCCTACACCCTTCTAGTGTTTGATTAAAATACATATAAAGAAATAATTTATTTCAACTGTTTGGAAAAAAATCTGTTTTACATATACTAATATAAAGCTGAATGAAATGAATCTTACAACATTGTAAAGTGATCTCTGATAACATGAGAATGGAGTTTTTTGTAGTTTAGTTTAGAAATGATTGAAGACGCATGGCTATTTGAATTGTCCGTTATAAACATAATGACCCTTATACTAATCATATTAATTTATGATTGCAAAGCAAAAAAAATTTATTTTTTCTGGTTAGCGTTTTTTTAGCGAGTTATTTTTCTACGCGATGGGGTCGTTAACCCCATGCCAAACCCTCCTCCTTTACCCGGGCTTGGGACCGGCAATAACTCTAGAAGAGCTACAGGCTGTCCACTCTCTCCCTTCCTCTTTCTTCTCCTGGTCGACTGAATTATGAAGACCTTGACAAAACACGGAATACAATGGACAGCTTAGAATCAGTTAGACGATTTGGACTTCGCAGATGACCTAGCCCTCCTATCACGTACACACGAACAGATGCAGATAAAGACAGACAGTGTGGCAGCAGTCTCTGCACTAGTAGGCCTCAACATACACAAGAGGAAAACTAAGGT